GGAGGATAATAAAGTTGGTTGGAGCAGCTGGAGATTTTACACTAAACCACTTAGAGTGAGTCAGACTGAGTCAGACTGATGGATCCACAGTGTCATGTGGTCTGTGCAATTTAAGAATAATGAACTCAGCTTCCCACAAATGGTTTTTATTTATTTATTTTCAAAATTTCCGTTTTAAAGAACACAAGAGTTCTTTTACTGAATTACATATATAGCACAGCAGCTATCAAGTCTGAAAAGATACTGTTGAAAGTTGTATATAAATTATAGTATACTTTAAACAAAGTTTTACCTCTTTATGTATTTCTTTTTTCTAAAATGTATTCTTTCTTTTCTTTTTCTTCTTTCTTTTTGTTTTACTGCACTTTTTATTGTTTTTTCTATTCCTTTTCTCTAAATTTAGTTTATATTCATTTTTACTCTTGTAATCAAAATTCTTAATACATTTTATATTAAAAAGTTTTTGACAATCTTAGGTTTTCACATAAAAACTTCAAATCTAGTGAGATGCTTTTCAGTGTCCAGCAAGATCACTTGGGAAAAGAGTGAAAGTTAGTCATATTTCAGTGAAATAATGTAAAATGTTGAAATTCTTGGGCAGATTCTCAGACAACTGCCAAATTTCATGAGATTATTTTTACAAACTCATGGGGTAAACTTTGAATTTAAAATGTCATCCTTTTACTTATTGATGTGCAACATTTGGGGAATCTAGTGGATAGTTTTATGTTGTTCACTAGTAAGATATGTGACTTTCTTTCTATGGATAGAGTTGGGAGTCTTTGATAACATGGTGCCTTCTAATCCTCAAATCAGTAGAAACACATGACAGTATAAATTGTATTGTCCCATTTGCTGAATCCTTACTACCTTGTGAACCAGGACAGTGACTGAGGTTGTCTTTAAAGTTTTAATGTAGTGTAAGTTGCACAGTGGATGGATTTTCCTGGCATTGTTTCCCTTCTCAAAATCACTTGCTAATGGGAAATACAATTACCTGCAGCTCTCCTTAACATGCTTCTGGTAAGGGTAGGTCGGTGCCTATGTTTAATTACCTGTAGTAATTCATATTTGGACAAATAAAGGTTCAGACTGGCTGGTAAACAATCATCTGGAACTCCCTTTTTCTTAGTGAAAAACATGCCAACTCTCTAGTTCAATGGAAGGCAAATAAAGAAATCTCTGTTTTGATATTGTTTCAAGATGCGTCGTCTTTATGGTGAAATCTTTGCAATCCCATGCTCATTTTTTTTTTCTTTAGTAAGCTTTGGTAAAGAGACTCCATGGAAAAGAATTGCATTTGGGTACTTTTCAAGCTGTCGGAGTGACAAGTTAGAAATGCAGAAGGACTCTGCAACTGTGACCCGTTCCTTAGGTTATTCTGGAAATAGGTCTGGCAGTCTTTTGAAACAGCATTAAATCTTCATCCCAAAATTGTCTCACTGAGAAGTCATAGAATGCTAGTTCTGTATTTCACAAGAGTGCTAAAACCCATCCTAAAGAAAGAAGGACTATTGATCTTTAAAAACAGCATTAAACATGTGGGTAAACTGTACATATAGGTATAGATGTAGATTTATGAAACCTGCGTAAAATATGAGAAGTGGTTTGGAAGCTACCCATGAGCCATTACTTTGGCAAAAGTTTCCAGGGCAGCCAGGTATTTGGTCTCTCTTGCAGCCCTAGCTAAAATGTCCATGGAGGTAAGTGCCTAGTGATAGAAGAGCACAGTGTGTGCCCACAGTATCCTAATACCTGTTTGGGCCATCAAGTGTTAATAAATAGTCCTAGACTGGCAAAAAAAAAAAAAACTGTGTCAGGAAAAGGAAATTTATTTATTTATTTATTTATTTATTTATTCTGCTTGTATTATTTCTATAAATAACTCAAACTGGCTAACATCCAACAGACCTTCTTTGTCCTCTTTTCACCCCACAACAATAACCCTGTGGCTTGGGCTGAGAGAGCTACTGGCCCAAAATCACCCAGCTGGCTTTCATGGCTAAGGTGGGACTTGAACTCATGGTCTCCGGCTTTCTAGCCTGGCGCCTGAACTACTAGACCTAACTGGTTTTAAAACATAAACAGCTAAACAGTTTATGTTTCCTCCTCTGTGCTCTATGAATGAGACAAAGAAGATGTAAAAATAGTTAAGCAAGGCCTGTTCATTTGGAGGGACATGAGAATAGCCTGTATGTGTTCTGAAATTGAAAGCCTTCCTTTTAAAATAAATCTTTCATTTTGTTGGCACCTCATCAGTGTTTAATTTGCTCTTTGCATTTTTGGTAATGTTATGATAGAATATTAATTTTAACTTTTTTTCTGCTTAAGTATTTTAGCTGCTATATTTTTAGAGTAGAAACTCAGAAATGCATTTTATATACATTAATAAAACTTTTCAAGGTCTTTCTGAATTGTATATATGTATTAATTAATTAATTAAAATTCTATACTGCCCATCTCACGTAAGTGACTGAACAGTTTACAACATCATAATAAAACCATATATACACATGAATAAAAACATAGACTAAAAACAGAATTAAGAACAAGTTAAAATTTACAAATACAAATAACAATCAAAGTTAAAAATTCAGAAGGCCAGAAGCTTGTATTGATCCTAAGAGGAGTGCAGTGCTGATTACAAAAAGCAAGGTTTTCAACGTTTCTTATGGTTACCAAAAATCAGCTCCTGTAGTTTCTTCACACTTTTCTGTGATCAAGTACTAAAGCTGGAGGGTGGAGATACAAAAAGATATGCCGAGGTGTGATTCTCAGTAATTATGAGAAAAAAAATATTTCCCACAGGATTATCTCCAAGCTGAATTTGGGTGCCCACTTCTCCATGGATTTGTGTATACATAGAGAAAAATATGGCAAAAACCCACACTGTGTCTCTGTGAATCCTGTGCTGCAACTAGAATGTCAACTCTGCTAGGACTGAACCATAAAAGTCTGGGTGCAGTTCTTCACTTGACTTGACACAAAGTCTACTGGGCTAGTGTATTGGGGACCATCTAGTCCAGGGGTCAGCAACCTTGGCTCTTTTATGACTTGTGGACTTCAACTCCTAGAATTCCTGAGCCAGCATGGCTCAGCATGGAAACCTCTCCCTTTCCCCTCAGCATAGCTGGCTCAGGAATTCTGGGAGTTGAAGTCCACGAGTCATAAAAGAGCCAAGATTGCCTATCCCTGGCCTAGCCCTTTGAAGAATGAACCAACCTTAGATGACCACAGGGAATCACCTGAGAATCAATAAAGATAAAGAAGGGGGGGGTCAGTTGGGTGGGAAGAGATTTTGGTTGGGGGAGTTGGCTGAAGTCTTGAATGAGGGCGACTCAGCAAGGCTGGAAGTTGAATTGTTTAGTTATAATTACATATATAGGCTATATAAATTTGATTTAAAAATACATCATAAATAATTGGAATTGTGTTTGATTTTTTTTTTAGGTGTAGAAGAGTGTCCAATTTTGGCAACATTAATACTTGTGGATTTCCAGAATTTTCCAGCCAGCATGGGTGGAAAATATGGCTGGCTGGGGAATTCTGGAAGTTGTTACAGAGTCCATAAATTCCACAAATTAAATTGGAGTTGACTGGTGGCCTTCCAGCTCCCACCTCAACTATTTATCTTCTTAAGTTTATTTTATTTTAGTTTAGTTTAGTTTCCCTTCCTACAATTTTGACCAAGGTTGTATGAGGATTTTAGTCTTCTGTTTCCCTTGTGGGCTGGTACGAAAGTTAAAAAATGGCTTTTAACAAAGGGGGTGGGGTGGTAGCAAAGGGATTTTTCTAATCACTGTTCCTCCCCAGATGTGGGTCACCTCAGAGTTGAAGGGCTTTTCCCCTCATTATAGATAATCCCCCCCACTTCTCACACATACAGCCTAAAGTTCTTCACACAAAGCCTTTGCATTATTTTTCAGTAGTTGTTAGACCACATGATTTCTTATTCTGTTATTTTCATAAAACTCAAATTGTGCATTAATTTTGGATTATAAACAACTTGGGATAAGGACATGACTTATGCAAAATGTCATGAATTTTGGTGTTAAAGAAATAATAATAGGTTCTACTGTCTGTTTTCATTTTTATATATTTTTAGTTTGTATAATTTAAACTAAAAAGTAATACTGAATGGAAAGACAGTATTCCTGGAAATTTTTTCCTGGAAATTTTCAAGTGATGGTAACAGTACATAGCAGAGATGCTGATGGAACAAAGTTTCTGCTTTGGTAAGGAAAAGATACCACCCGATATCATAATTCTATAATTAAGAATTATAGATTGATTGATGAATTTGGGATAATCAGGAATTGTGTTAGCTTGAATTCCTTTCTGGAAGGACAGTAGATACATAGGCTATCTTTGACTGAATGTATGTATGTATGTATGTATGTATGCATGCATGCATGTATGTATGTATGTATGTATGTATGTAAAATGGTGCTGAGAAAATGTTTTTTCTTCTACTGGGAAATCAGACAGATTCTTAAAGGACTTCTTTTCTTTTTAGTTCAAGAAAAAAAAATCTAGGGTTGGGTGGTGCAGTCATGGGTGTGGATTTTTTTTTTTTTTTAAATTTAGACCAAGCAAGTTGGAGAGGTTTTTTCTTGTACTTGCTGAAAAGAATAATCTGCCATCAGGTTTAAGAAAAAGAGAAGGATTAGGATGTATCTTAAGGCATTATTTTTCCTGCAGGGCTAAAGAATGTCAAAGAAACTTGCCAAACCCTATCATACAGACAGTAGTCATAGCAGCATCTAACATCCATTGAAAGAAGGGTGATGCAGATAATCTGGGGTTGTCTAGAGTTCACAGTCAGGCTCTTTACCTTTGGGGTGTGTTTCAGGGAAGGTCAGTTTCTGGCACTGTGCAAGAGGGAGGGTTCGAAGCACACCTAAGCCCAGGAATACAATAATAATAAAAAAAAGAGCACTTGATTTTCCACTCCCCTCTAACCCAAGCCAATTCTCTGAACAGATAAAAAGGAAGATTCTCGCCTTGCTGCGATAGGGACTCAGTTGTACTCTGAACTAGGAACACCTTCCTTGAAAAAGTCACTGCCACCAGCCAGCTATCCTCTGTCATGTCTCGCCAGTCTTTTGGGATGAGTGTGTCAGGAGGGAACAAGGGATTCAGCTCCAGCTCAGCTTGCTTCTCAGGCGGACAAAGAATGAGCTTCAACAGTGTTTCCGCAAGCCGTGGATGTTCTGTCCGTAGTGGAGGTGGAGGTGCTGCTTTTGGCAGCAGAAGCCTATATAATCTTAATCAAGGGGGCAACAAGAGAATCTCCTATGGTGGAGTTGGCAGTGGCTTTGGTTCAGGTTTTGGTGGGGGTTGCGGCCAAGGGGGTGGAAGCTTTGGAGCTGGTGGTGGCTTTGGTGCTGGTTATGGTTTTGGTAATGCCTTCCCAGCTTGCCCACCGGGAGGCATTAAGGAGGTGACTATCAACCAGCATCTCCTGCAGCCCCTGAATTTGGAGATAGATCCAGAGATCCAGAAAGTGAGGGTAGAAGAGAGAGAGCAGATCAAGACCCTTAACAACAAGTTTGCCTCCTTCATTGACAAGGTGAGATAGTTGCAAAAATATTTTTTTCTTATTTTTCTAGACCTTTCCTTACTTTCTTTAGCATACTTTAAGGTGCATGGAATTTATGAACTGCTTTAAAAACAGAAAATCTCAAGATATATGATTTTAAAAGCTTTATAACTAATTATGCTGTCACTAAATCTCAACTCCTTGTTTCATATAGTATGTATACTTTGGGGAGAAATGATAACATGTAGTTCTTGAGGGGATAATAGCTTTTTAAAGATGTAGGAGAATAAGAACAGAAACGAAGGAAAAAAAAACACTGTGATTAAATCTGTAACTTCATGGTTCATTCTCAAAGAATTCTGAGAACTGTAGTTTGGTGAAGTGCTAGAAATGCCAAAGATTGCTCTAAGCCTAAAGGCAAACTAATACTACTACGTACCACAATGCTGAGGAGAAATTTGACTATCAGTTGTTGAAATTTATGCTATTGATATGCTATTACTTTGCATTTTATACAATTTTCTTATGCTGTCAGAATTAACAAAAAGTCAATAAGAAATCAGTAGAGAAAAGACAGGCCAAAGGGCAGAATAGTTGATAGTAGATCTACTGGGCTTCAATTACAGGATGTGCACTAGATATATTCGTGACACTTAGCTAGGCTCAGGTCACTAACCATGTTCACTAACTGTTCATTCACAGTAGTGATACCACACATGCTCGTTCTTTCCAATGACTTTTATTTGCAATATCTCTCAGCCAACAGCAAGAGTCCTATGGAAAAGGAATTAAAGCCTGTAATTCTAAATATGAGGGGTGACCCTGATTGTGAGCCTGGTAGGGGAAAATACAAGGAAAAAAAAATAAAAGATCCAAAATGGTTTGGAGAGAGAACTGAAATTAATGCTAAAAGAGGCAATGATGGTGGCTATGTGGTAAATCTGGATTAGCATTTTTTGTGAGTGTTCTGTGGAAGATGTAGCGCTCCTGTTCCTGTGGTTTCACTTATTTGGAGGCTTAGTGGTATGAAAACTTATTTTAGAGATGTGCTTGTTCATGTGCTCATCAGACAGGTGACGCCAGGAAAAAAGATTAATGTCTCTAGTATAAAAAGGAAAAACATATTTTTCCTGTTGCAGAAAGTATTTTAAGGCCATGGTTGCCAACAACATGTAGCATGATTTCAAATTACCTTTGATATGATAATTGCTCTGTTGTGCCCAATGCTTTAGCCACTTAATAATAGTAGTAAAGTTGGAAGGGACCTTGGAGGTCATCTAGTCCAACCCCCTGCTCGGGCAGGAAACCCTACACCATTTCGGACAAGTGGCTGTCCAGTCTCTTCTTAAAAAATTCCAGTGTTGGAGCATTTACTGCTTCTGGAGGCAGGCTGTTCCACTGATTAATTGTTCTCACTGTCAGGAAGTTTCTCCTTAGTTCTAGGTTGCTTCTCTCCTTGATTAGTTTCCACCCGTTGCTTCTTGTCCTGCCTTCAGGTGCTTTGGAAAATAGCTTAATTCCCTCTTCTGTATGGCAGCCCCTGAGATATTGGAATACTGCTATCATGTCCCCCCTTGTCCTTCTCTTCGTTAAACTAGACATACCCAATTCTCGCAACCGTTCCTTATATGTTTTAGCCTCCAGTCCCCTAATCATCTTTGTTGCTCTTCTCTGTACTCTTTCTAGAGTCTCAACATCTTTTTTACATCGTGGTGACCAAAACTGGATGCAGTATTCCAAGTGTGGCCTTACCAAGGCACTTTGTTGATAAGTCTTGATATTAACTTTTAGCATTAACAGAAAGGTTATGAGAACCTGCTGAAGTGATTTCCAGGCTAGATAGCACTGATATATATATGTAACACACAGTCTCCCCAGATCATTAGTTGACCTACCACATGTTCTTTAATTCAAAATGCAAGAAGAAGAAACTTAGATTATAAATTCTAAGGATGCAAACTACTTTTGCATTAGTTACTGTATTGCTCATATGTAATAAAATGTTTAATCTTATGTGGGAATATGTATGTGGGAATCTTCTGTAGAGTCTAGTCAAGAAGAATGCCCCAAGGATTGCATTGAGGTAAATGAAGCTCAGCTGTGAAGATGTATTACACATTTTGTAGTTGAGAATTTGCTGGTGTTGGAGGCAGATATTGGTTGATTTGTTGTAGTGGAGTACATATTTAAGTTAGTATATTTCTTAAAAGGTTTCACTGATATAAAATGAAAAGTCTATCACATTCCATGCTTAAGAACTGTTACTGATGTAGTCTCCTCAATATTCTTTGTTTTAATATTGCTAATAGCTCAAACTGCATGTTTGTAGTGGCAGTAAGCACATTGTCCTATGTGGAGTGTCTTCACTATAATGAGAAATCCACCAGAATGCTAATGTTTTCCATCGAGTTGAGGAATATTCCATCTGGTTTAAAATTCTGCTCAGTGCTACCTGGGTGCCAATCACTGGCTGATGAGACTTAGAGGCTATCAGTAAATAAAGGTTCTAGAGCAGTGGTTCTCAACCTTTTTAATGCCGCGACCCCCAACTGGTCATAAGTCCAGGACTACTCAACCGGTCGTAAGTCGAGGACTACTCAACTGGTGCAGCACTGTTTGCAGAATGGGACTTTTGGCGGGCTCAGCAGGGCAGAGACAGCCTGGACAATTCCTATTGGCTTTTGAAAGCCAATAGAATTAGACTCTATTCAAGAGAGTCTATTCTATTGGCTTTCAAAAGCCAATAGAATAAAAGGGAGTAGCACAGCTAAGGAAAAGGGGAAAAAAATGGCGGACTGCGTTGTTTGGCGACCCCCGTGAAATGGTTGTTCGATCCGAAATGGGGTCCCGACCCACAGGTTGAGAACCACTGTTCTAGAGAGACAGTGAAGAGGACTGAATTCTGACACTCAGTAATACTAAGAATTTGTAGAAAGAACATTTCTAAACAATCCACTCTGAATCATTGTAGAAGGTAAAGAGATAAAATAATATCTTAGAATCAAATGCTTAAAAATCCAGAGATGTCCCTGTTACATACAACCTATTAGAATATGAATATATAAACCTTTTGCTCTGCTTTTCTGCTCTCTGCTCCACTCTCTTTTTAGGTTCGTTTTCTAGAGCAACAAAATAAGGTATTGGAGACCAAATGGAAACTCTTACAAGAACAGGGCCAAGGTACTGGTGGTCAAAAAAATCTTGATCACTTCTTTGAAGCATATATCAGCAATCTAAGGAGGCAGCTGGATGGTCTTCTGAATGAGAGACGAGGACTTGAATCAGAATTGAAAAACTTCCAAGACCTTGTGGAGGATTTCAAGAATAAGTAAGAGAAGATTAATCCAAACTAAAACTTCTTGATATTCTTTTGTCTACTTTCATGAAAATTGGGCTTTGTTAGGTAAATGTCCAATCTGATGAAGAAGGTGGAACAATCTAATCATAACATTTTGAGGGAGTGGTTTTTCTTTACAAGAGGATTCATTTCCCTAAAAATGAGAATCATTTTTTCCTCCTTATTTTCAGCAAACATGCTTAATTATTTACCACATATATTGGAAATACTTGCCTATGAATAGAAAGACATATCTTAGCGCATTTCTCTCTTTCCTTTCTTCCCTCCCTGTATAGTAATAGTAATAGTAGTAAAGTTGGAAGGGACCTTGGAGGTCATCTAGTCCAACCCCCTGCTCGGGCAGGAAACCCTACACCATTTCGGACAAATGGCTGTCCAGTCTCTTCTTAAAAACTTCCAGTGTTGGAGCATTTACTGCTTCTGGAGGCAAGCTGTTCCACTGATTAATTGTTCTCACTGTCAGGAAGTTTCTCCTTAGTTGTGAATCCTACCAATAATCTGTTTCATGAAACATTTTTCATCTTGGCTGTTGCACACTGTCCAGTTTTTAGGGAATATATATAGGATTGGGGAGGACCTGCTCCATTAAAACGCTTATAATTTAGACCAATATAATATGGTTGAATTCCAGAAATTTTTTAGTATAGTATTTGCTTCATATTGCTCAAAACATAGGTGTTATCTTCAGTCATAAAATAATACTGTAATAGCCCAAGCTTGGGAAACCTATGTTCCTCAACATCTAGTACAGTGTTTCTCAAATTGGGCAACTTTGAAACGTGTGGACTTCAGAGTTGAGAATTCTTCAGGCAGCATATGCTGGAGAAACACTAATCTAGATGGCCATAAGCCTGAATAAATTTGATAAACAATGAAAAGCAGTATATGAGTTACAAACTTGTAGAAGCTGAATCACTCACATAACAGTTAAGGGTAAACCGATCTCTCATTTTCTTTCATTTGTACACCACAAAGATTTCAAAGGGTTTGATTGTTAGGATATTTTAGAAGTCATGACTAATCCTATTCCACATTCCCTATCTAGAAAAAAATAAAATAAAATAGCCAAATAGGGCACCACAAGTATGAGCACACTGTGGAAAAATAAGAGTTTTTAATAAAGTTTAAACATTAAATTATTATGGTTGGTCAATCAGATTATTATTATGCTTCATCACACAATCTGCCAGATGTTTAGTCTGGATTTGATATTTTTATCCACCTATCGCGTCCTTATTATTATTAACTTCAAAGTATAGATTTTTGCAAGGGGGTACAATGGCTCAGTGGTTAAAGATGCTGAGTTTGTCAACTGGAAAGCTGTTTGAGATTTGCTCTGTGCAATGGAGTGAGCTCCCGTGCTTGACCCAGCTCCTGTCCACCTAGCAGTTAGACAACATGCAAATGAGAGTAGATAAATAGGTACCACTTTAGTGAGAAGGTAACAGCGTCCATGCACCTTTAGCATATAGCTGTGCTGGCCACAAGACCATGGAAAATGTCTTTGGACAATATTGGCTCCTTCAGCCAAGAAATGGAGAGAGCACAGTGCTCTAGAGTTAGACACAACTGGACAGGGAAATCTTTACCTTTTTGAAGATTCTTAAAGAATTTGGAATAGTTTGTAAAGTGTGGACGAATGAACGATATGTTGGAGACCATAGTATCAGACACACTCAAAAGGAGAAATTTAATCTTTCTTTCTCTTTGTCAGATATGAGGAAGAGATTAACAAGCGTACAGCAGCAGAGAACGATTTTGTGCTCTTGAAAAAGGTAAGTGCTTCAACTGCAATGATGAAGGGATGAAAGGGAAAAATTGGTTTGAGTTAAGGAGCGGCTGATTGTAGCAATAAGCTCAGCTGGTTGAAGGTCTTAGGATATTCTCTCAGCGTCCTTTCCATTAAATTACGCTTGCCTTCAACACTGTTGGCAGTAAATCCCACTCCTTTGTGAGTTGAGGGAGAAAAATTCTAAAATGGTATCTGTAGGAGATGACCAGGCTGAGCCCAAGGGAGGGGATCAAGCCTGTCATCAGTCTGGAGTCCCTTTGCACCCATAAGAGACCTAAGTCCAGCCCTCCTTGAATTCCATTGACCCTTATCTGCCCCCAATTTGCCTTGACCATTAGTAGTTCAGATTTTTGTTTAGAGATAGTGTGGAATAAACTTGTACTGATCTGAACAACACTGGTGCCTGACAGTGTCAGTTTCTTATAATATCCTCTTCTATGTTGCTGCTTGTAAAAGAATGGCATTTGCTTGAACACCAGGTTCACTATTTTAGAGATTAATATAAAAGAGCACTGACCAAGAGGAACTACGTTGTCCAGGAAGCTGAAGATGTCCATAGCAAGTAATAAGTAGGGAAGAGAAGTAAGATGCTGTTAGTTGATATTGATAAGATGAATAGCTGCTTTTGATATTTGGTTAAAAGGCTTAGATGCTTTCATGCCAGACTGAAAATTGCACTTTGAAGGAAGATGTGAAAATAAAAACAAAAAAACAAAAACAAAAAATGGGAGTCTTCTGTTACCATTCTCCCATATGTCCATGAGCTCTTACAAGCATAACTGCTACGTAATAGAACAACATTCCTGGCTCTTGTGTTGTGGTTTACTTCTGAAACTGCCATTTTTAGAAAAAATAATATCCTTCTTTAAATCAAGATTATTATTATCATCTTCATTATCAAATGTGCAGAAGACTGAACCATCTTCTGTTTCTCTCCCCACCCCCCCCAGGATGTAGATGCTGCTTACATGAACAAAGTGGAACTGCAGGCAAAAATGGATGCCTTAACAGATGAAATCAATTTCCTGAGGTGTATGTTTGAAGCTGTAAGTAAATGTGCTGATCACTAATATAAGTAACTTGGCATATGATACACTTCCTAGTTCTGAGAGAATGTTTGGAATTTGCAGAGCACATTGTGGGTTCTTTTGCAAAAGGTTCTCAAAATCTGGTCAACACACACATACACACACACACACACACACATTCTTCCCAGAGGCCAAATATGAAAATGAGTTTGATGTACTGGTTAAACTACTGGAACAGAAACTTGAGGCGGTGAGGCCTACCTTGACCTTATGCATAGAAGCCAGCTAGATCAGCAGCTCCCATCCTTTGTGGCTTGGTGGCACGGCAGAGGGGGAGAGAGGGAACCGGGCTATGTGAGCAGCAGGTTGGTGCACACATGTGCACATACATGTGCATTGCAGCCCTGAGCTAGGTGACTTTGGGCCAATTCTTCTTCTCAGCCTTATACACATGACAGAATTGTTATTGTGGGGACAAGTGAGCAATATGTATACCACCTTGAAGAGACACAATAAAAACAGGATATAATAAAGAAGCAAATAAATTGGGGAAAATTAATATGTTCAGGTGGGTTTAATTAAGCTGACTGGATTCCCTTTTTAGGAACTGAACCAGATGCAGCAAAGTGTTTCTGATACCTCTGTTGTCCTTCAAATGGACAACAACCGGAACTTGGACTTGAATAGCATCATTGCTGAGGTTAAAGCCCAATATGAGGACATTGCCCAGAAGAGCCGGGCAGAAGCAGAATCTTGGTATCAATGCAAGGTGAGCTTTCAAAGTGTTTGCTCCTTTCAGGCTTTTCCAATATAGAATAATCCTCAGCTGAGACACAGGTATGTGATATGTAATAAATTTGAATAAGCTCTCTTGGAATGCTTTGACCACTGAATTGTGCACTCTTAGAAAACACAGTAAACAGTGGGTGGACATTAAAAGCTACCTTATATTGAATTAGCTCATGGGTTTAATCAAAGACCTGAAGCATCCTCTTGGGGAAAATCTAAGTGGTTGCTAAGAGCTGACACTAACTGACACATAATTAGTCAGTCAGTCAATCAATCAATGGGCTTATCTGGCTGAGGGCACCTTTCAAAGTTTCAGAGACAAGCTCCTATTTGTAGATGCTATGCATTGAATCTATGCCCCTCTGCTGCCAAGGACTAAAATGCCGAAGGGTCTTTTGGTCAAATTGGCCAATAATCCATCTGCAGTACTTCAGAAAGTTGTATTGTGGACAAGCTTTGTTTGAAAAAGTGCACTGGCTATAATCACACGTTTTTTTGAGACAGCTTTGTAAATATATCACAGCATTTGGGGGAAACCTTAATTAGTTGGACCTTGCTACCAAAGATTTTCAGATGTAACCTTTGACCTTCCCTTTTTTTTGTGGAATGCTAGTATGAAGAGCTGCAGGTGTCGGCTGGGAGACATGGTGAAAATCTACGAGATACCAAGTCTGAGATTGCTGAGCTGAACCGGACAATTCAGAGGATGCGAGCTGAAATAGAAAATGTGAAGAAGCAGGTAAGGCCAGAAAAATTTTGCAGGATTTGAGGAAGTGGAAGTTTCTTTAGAATTTCCTAATGTGTAAAACACCATTCAGTTAGCCTGAACCAGTGTTGTTGATACCTTAATTGCAACAGTGGGAACAGAATAGAAATTAAAAATGTGCCAAGCAAGAAGATACAACCTCAATGTTCTTGTTTTCCATAAACTACAGTATAAGCTTCCTAGTGCACTCTAACTTGGACAATTGAGTTATCAGTGGGAGGCATTGATGTCCTTTGGGTAGCAGTAAAAGAGTCCCTTAGAAGCATCATCTCCTATTTTAACTATTTGTTTTCTCCTATAATCCTCTTGGACTATGGAGTATCACTTTGGTATATTTTCTGAAGGTGCCAGTGTCCTTCAGGCCTGTAAGAAAATGGCAGAGAGAAGTAGGGACACAATTATAATTGTATTTGTATTTATGTTGGTAGCTGATGGACAACTAAGGCACTAGGCTGGAAAGTTGGCGACTGTGAGTTCAAGTCCCACCTTAACTATGAAAGCTAGCTTACTGGCCTTGGGCCAGTCATTCTTTCTCAGCCCAACTCATTTCACAGGATTTTTGTGGTGGGGAAAACAGGAGGAAGAAGGTATATTAGATTTGTTCACCACCTTGAGTTATTTGTGCAAATAATAAAGGCGGGGTACAAATAAATAAATGGACCCAGGAAGAAATATTTTTTGCTAACCTTACTATTTACTACAGAATAGCTTATCTTATCTTTCAGTGTGAGAAGCTGCAGGCTTCTATTGCAGAAGCTGAGGAGCGTGGTGAGCTGGCACTCAAGGATGCCAGAGAAAAGCTCTCCGAACTAGAGGAAGCTTTGCAGAAGTCCAAGGAAGAGATGGCCCGTCTCTTGAAGGAGTACCAGGAGCTAATGAACGTTAAGTTGGCCCTTGATATTGAAATTGCTACCTACAGGAAATTGCTGGAAGGAGAGGAGAGCAGGTGAGTGAAATGTAATAGATGGACAAGTATCCCAAATCCCCATGAAGATACAATGTAGGAACAGTGGTGGTGCAGTGGTTAGAATGCAGTATTGCAGGCTAATTCTGCCCACAGCCAAGAGTTCGATCCTGACTGACTTAAGGTTGACTCAACCTTCCATCCTTCCGAGGTTGGTAAAATGAGGACTCAGATTATTGGGCAACATTTATAAACTGCTTAGAGAGTGCTGTAAAGCACTATGTACCAGTATCTAAGTCTAAGTGCTATTGCTATTGCTAATGACAAAAACTTATGACAAAATCTAGCACATGTTCCTTTTTATCCTGGCCCCATTTGTTACCTTTTGAAGTGTGGATCCAGTGTTCTATTCAGAAATCAATGCAGCTTTAGACCCAGAGAAAGATTTATTGAGTCCTCCTCTTGTGAAAAATCTGGCCGAGTGCAGCCCTTTGAATGCTTCAAGGTGATTGTGTTGAAAAACAGACTAAATCTAAAGCTATGTTTCTCAATCTTACCAAGTTTCAGATGCCTGGATTCCAACTCCCAGAATTCTGGGAATCAAAGTCCACACATCTGAAAGCTTCTGAGGTTGAGAAACACTGACTTACATGGAATAGATACTACAAATGTAGATGTCCTAACTCGGATAAGGATTTATTTAAGCATATTGGCATGGTGAGACTGTGCACACAACTTAGATATTTTTATCAATCACTCAGAGTAATATGAGATAAATATCATGTTTATCTGAACTGGAAGGACTAAAATAATAATCTTGAATTATTTCCTATAAGTAATAAACTTCATAACCAAGCAAGGAGTTTACAGTACATTCGTTGTAGTTTTATAGCACACGGTACTAGCAAAGTTTAAAGGGATTTCTTCAATGGATTACATATATATTTTTAGTATTTTATATGATTACCCAATTGAACATAACCATTACTAACATATTATAAATACTACTTTTCCACAGAATGTCTGGAGAGTGCCAAAGTGCTGTGAGCGTCTGTAAGTAAAACTAGTTTTATGTTTTTATTCATAACCTATTATTCATAACTAAAAGAAAAATCCAGAATGAATTGTTTTTCCCTCATGTGCACGGCAAAGCTGGTTTTTGTTGAGTATCATATGATTGTCATATTCATCTAAAACCCATAAGTCTAGTCTGCAGGAGAATTTAATGCAAAGTTATTGTAATAATTTAACTACACAACTTTGCAATTGTGCAGGAGTAGTGAATTAACTGCCCTCCATGTATTAATGAAATGCAACCACTAGCATTCTACATGACCAATAATAAAGAGGATCAATAGTTAAATTATCAACATTGTGTGGGCCATGGATTCTAGTAATGATCTTTGCTGCATTTTATTTATTTGTTTATATAGCTATTTATATCGCCACAGGCGACTCTTTACAGTGCATATGTGTGTTTATGGTCATGGTGCTGAATCTCTCTCTCTCCCTCACTTCCTCACACACAAACACAACGTTTACACCATGGCTATTTGACAACTTTATGTCTATGTGTGCATTTTAAAAATATTAAATCTGACATCTAAATAGAAGTTTGAGGTTTCCCCTCCTCCCCTTTTTTTTAACACAATCAAAAGGGGTCAGTTGAGCTTCATGCATGGACATCAAGTTTTACATCAAGTTCCTGGGAAAGAATGTCCAGGACAAATCAAATGTCCTAGCTGTTTCCAGCCATATTCAACGTCATGGTTGTTTCCATTGTTACCACCACTGGAAAGCATTTGCTTTAATGAAACTTGTAATAATCTTGGTGTTTTTTTCTCTCTTCCAGCTGTGATAGGCTCTTCTTCTGGTGGAGGAATGGGTAGTGGATTCGGAGGAGGAGTATGCTTTGGAGGATCATCTGGTGGTTTTGGTGGTTTCAGTTCTGGAAGTGGGAGAGGTATAAGCAGCATAGGTGGTGGAGGAGTTTGTTCTGTAGGAGGAGGGTATGGAGGAGGATATTCCTCTAGCTGCGGAAGTGCCATTGTGAAAAAAACCACCTCCTCCTCTTCCACCTTTATGAGTTCAGGCAGGAAGTAACAAGTAACAGATGCAATGACAACCTCGTGCTCGATCAAAGAAACATTCTTCTGATGATCTCCACCAAGCATACCCATCCCAACCTTGGCATCTTTCAGAGAAAAGAACTTGTCTCTTACAACCACTGTGTCTGTTTTCTCAGAATATATCTAGATCTTTCATTCTTTGTCCTAGACTCATTATTACATTTCATGCCCAAATATCAATTAGAATGAATCAGTCATAATAACACTTTCACTTCATAGAAGTTTATCTCAAGTATGCGTGCTTATGTCGGTCAATACACACACCATTGAATGATAGGAATATAGATCCTGTGTTGCCTTGACAGGGAGAATCATTTCCTTATTTCCAAAACTCTGGGATTTTTTTCTTGGTCTTCTTCTCCATAGTCAACTGAGAAAGGCCTGGAACAAGTTTAGGTACGAATGGAAAAGTTTTTGATTATCATGCACAAAGTATAGGTTTCACCTAGCCAGGGTTAAGTGCTATTTTAGGGCCTTATCATTTCAGTGAAAAAAAAATTAAGCACTTATTGAGAGCATGACCATTTAAGAAAAAAAATGTGGAATTTTCACAGATTCAGCTTTGTTCTAATTATGCCCACCTTCCTTCCTTCCTTCTTTCTTTTTCTTTCTTTCTTTATGGCACTGAAAACTTTGCTCATTTTAGTTTTTGAGTTGATTCGCTTTTATGGGTGTATGACTATCTGCATCTCAATAAAGCCTCAGTAAAGAGTGTGTTGATGTGTTCTGTTTTTTATACCCTGGTCTTGTGTCATGAGAACTGTACTGTAGAAGTAGAGACCTCAGACCCATATAGTTGGGATCTTGGACAATATAACCAAAATGGAGGCAGACTCCTCAGGCTCCTGGTCTTTTCTATGAGTTTATCAGGTGTGTCCACAGCAAATGAACTTGCTGAAAATCACTGCACATTCATAGTACAGATGTCCCTAAAAGTAACTGACTGTTATAATAATCCAAATTTCAATAATATTTTAAGCGTTGAAAATGTGAGGTGGCGCAGCAGTTAGAGTGCAGTACTGCAGGTCACTTTAGCTGACTGTGTTCAGCAGGTCAGCAGTTCAAATCTCACCGGTTCAAGGTTGACTCAGCCTTCCATCCTTCCGGGGTAGGTAAAATGAGGACCCAGATTGTTGGGGGCAATATAAATATATATATACATTGCTTACTGGTGTACACTGCTTAGAGAGTGCTTGCACTTAAAGTGGTATATAAGTCTCATAAATAAATAAACTATTTTAACTACAATTTTGAACTTGATTTTAAAGACTACTTTAAAAGTAGGATACTAATTTATAATCTTGGGCAATCATGTTGGATATCAACAATCCACTCTTATTATATTTGTTTTCCCTGCACTCTAAACCTAATAGCCTCCATAATCTATGAAAATTGAAAAAAGAAACCCCATCCTTTCAGACCACTGAGAAGACAGCCTGCCATATAGTACTGAAGCCAAAGTAGTAACATTTGTGATATGAGCCCAAAATTCAGAGTTCATGAGGCTTCATTTAAAGTTGCTGCATGTATTTATTTTAGAAGATGACAATCCTTCCCCAGAGATTTTATTTCATTTGTTCTACAGATATTCTGAAGTTACACGTATATGAAATTGACAGACTTGACAAAAAGTGATTAGATTTTGATGGACAACAATTTCAGCTTCCCATGTGAAACCAAGGGGTTTCTTGTTCAAGGGTTAAGTCTTCTCATGGAAAGGCTACATATGAATTTGCCCAGAATCTGTTCCAAATTAAACCAGGGTTTAATGTAAATCATCTTTGTGTGTTAAGAACAATGTGCTGCAAGAACATAATAAAGGATCCTTGGTGCTCTCTGGGCTTGGTTGTTTTCTTGTAGATGTTTCATTACCCAAACTAGGTAGTACCATCAGTGCACCGATGATGTTATCTAGGCTGGGTAATGAAACATTTGCAAGAAAACAATTAAGCTCAGAGAATGCCAAATGAACTTGCTGAAGACCCCTCATTTCAACCCTGAGCCACAAACAAAGATCTTTATGCTTCGTGGATCTCATGCAATCACATTTTCAGCTGACAGTTCCTTTGCTTCATCACATACTAGTGTTACGTCCTGAGCCTGTGGAAGCAGGCTCGGGGCATTGCAACAGTCCCGGGCAGGTGCAAGCTGCCCGGGACCAGACTGGCTGTCGCCAGCACTTGCGTGCATGCGCGGGTGCTGGCGTGCCAAATGTTGCAGATTGGCCCGGGAATGGCCTATAAAAGAGGCCGGGAGATTTGGGCGTTGTCGGCGTCTTGTAACCAGTATGCTGAACAGAAATAAAGAAGTTCCTGAGAACTACAACTGCTTCTCGTGTCATTGCCATTTCGCGAAGGACGCAACACCTAGGATTTCCCTCTTTTCATTCTTCAGCACTTTCATCTCCTGAAAATGGCATCTGCAAAATAAGAAATATGATTGCCCCCTCTCATAATCCAATAAGTTAAGGCTGGGCAGGTTGCTGATTTTGATTAGGAAGGATTCCTCCCACTTTATCCCAAATGTCTTGTGGTACGGGACACCCTCCCCCCATGGTCTATTTTTTTTTCATCCATGGTAGGGAAGTGGGTTAGAACTGTGCTTATGTCATGGTGTGGAAGGATTTGGCCTCTAAACAACATTGCCAGAAAATAGAGCTCCTCTTCTCGAAAAGCTCAAGTGTTGGGGTGTCTCTAGAATGCCTTAGGTTGCCATTGGATGATCCAAGTGGATTTAAGTGCATGAGAATGTGGGAGTAGCTAGTTTTTGTTTCCCTTGAAGTGAGAAGATAATACCACATCTGATTCAATATCTGCTGAGAGTGCCGAATGAAGGATAGTCACTTTCATTTTGCAATTTGATATTAATAAGTGCTTAACCACCCACAAATAGAAATGAAAGAAATACTGCTTCCCTCAAGGAATTCCTCCCCATCTACTAGCAAACCTGGAGTTATGTTCCTACCCCAGCAGGTACCCACACCATTGATGATCTGATAATCAACCAGACCCAAAAATTAGCAGCAACATTATAGCAGAATTCTGAAATGGGAACTGGAGCAACAGGCCCATTCTGCTCCCTATCAAACCCCACAAGGGAAGAGGGGACACAGATACACATAAATCCTTCACCTAAGATGCACTATGCTTATCAGGGCTTGATTATCTACACTGCAGCTGAGACCAATATTAAGGGAGTGGCACAGACATGCTTTTAACACATCTTTTCAAATTGATGAGCAATGGTGTAGGCTGAATTGTGTAGAGAAGGAATAAGGTCTCATACTATAGCATATCTAGGGCTGAATCATGGGACATGGTTTAGGGTTACACAAAAAGGCTCAACCACCAAATGTCTTCAGAAAACAATAGGTGAGAAGACATCAGCAAAAAATCCAATATCTGTACTATTGTGATTGCTGAACCTGTGGTCTAATTGTCCTTGCTATTACTTGTTCTTCTTCTTGCTCTTCTCTAATTGCATCACTGGCCTCATACACATGGTCCTATTTCCAGTTTCCAAGTGCCAGATAGCTCTATGATAAAATCAGATGGTCACCAAAGATCAATTATATGCCTAGAAACAGGATTTGCAGTCAAGTACAGTTTTAATTTGCAGGACACACCTTCGATTGCAAAATTCTGTACATACTGGCTGCAAAACCCAGGCAAATTTTAGGTAGAGATGGCCTGAGATGAAATGGAGGTTGTCTTTAAGGCATTGAGGAGAACAATGCTCTTGGCAGTTGCTTCCTTCCCTAAGGCTTGCCTGATTGCCTTACAGAATTGTCTAGACTCTTGACAATAAACCAATAGCTTGGTTTTAATTCAATGTGAAGAAAATATCCTATCCTAAATTAGAAGTATATCTGCAGCACTTGGATGCAATAGTCCAATTTCAACAAATGGGAAAAGATCTCCTCCCCTCCTCCAGTTAAGTTTCTCTAACAAAGCTATAGCTAGAGCAGTGGTGGCAAACCTATGGCACGCATGCCAGAGGCGGCAGTCAGAGCCCTCTCTGTTGGCACATGCACCACTGCCAGCAGCAGGTGCATCAGGCCACCACTGCCGCCCGGAGCAGGAGCCCCGCCCAGCACAAAGGAGGCAAAGCAGCCAACTAGCAGGCTCGAGTAGAGGTGGTAGAGCAGAGGTCACCAATCATTGTTGATTGATGGACTAGAAGAAAAGAGAAGGGAAAGCATTTTACATGCATGCATGCATGCATAGGGCTGCGAGCATGCACGTGCTAAAAATGGGGTGGGGCTAGGGCCTGCATGATACTCACTAGCCCTGCCCAGTTCTTGCATGGTACAACGCCTTGTAGCTGCACCCCACGGCAGGGCCGCTTTTGCGCCTTGCAGCATGGTAGTCCATTTTTGTGCCCCAGTTTTTGCATGCCAAAGGCAGCACTCAGAGGCGCCTCTCTACCCCCCCCCATGAAGGCACCACAATGCTGATGTGGCCCTGGCACTTTGCGATAAATAAGTGGGTTTGGGTTGCAGTTTGGGCACTCGGTCTCTAAAAGGTTCGCCATCACTGAGCTAGAGAATACTCATCTGTTTTCCGGCAATCCAATATACACATGGGCAGAAATGGAAGAGATAATGATTAGGGTAGCCATATCGCCATGTCAGCCCCTGCTGACCATAAACAAGCCCAGATCTCCAACTTTTCTTTAAAAACAGCTGATTGTAGAATCAGAGGCTTGACCACAATAAGCTGAAAAGGTTTTTCTTCTGCCCAATCATTTTTGTGTGAAATGGGCCAGTTCCCATTTTGAAATTATTATTATTGTTAGCCAATAAGAATGTTCGGTTTCAGATCTAATTGCTTCTTCAGATTCAGTGGGGAAGAGGAAGGAAGAAATATTGGATTGTATTGGAAATGAATGTGACAAGCTAATTCATTCTGCCTGAAATATGGATCTGTTTCGTTAGAAAGTGAAAGGGATACAAAAATAGAACTGCAAAAATATTAAAAAGTAAATTCTGTGTGCAATGAAGACATAAAAAATTAGAAAGGAGGACAAATCTGGGGGGGGGAGCACTTCAACAGTTAGATTGAGTGAAATAAATCTTTGTCTCCATTTCTGCAAGGCAGGTATAATAATAATAATAATAATAATAATAATAATAATAATAATAATAATAATAATAATAATAATAATAATCCCCCAGTGAGGCACTACCTTGATGTGGTTGTGGGGCTTGTGTACTCTGAGGAAGATGAGAGCTATGCCAGAGGTTCAACCATACTGGACAGGTCTCATCAGAGGAGTCAGACAAAGAGTGTCTCTCCCATAAAAAATATGGTGAGACGTAAATTTCAGAATGCCATACCGGCTCGGATGTCGCCCGGGTTAACAAGGTCCGCGCTAGATATTGGAGTTCCTGGATATCTGGTGAAAAATGGGTTACAGGACTCAGGACTGTTGGCTGAGCAACCAGGGCCAGCAGCTGCAGAACTACTGGAAGAAAAGGTGTTTACCCGTCGCAGATACACAGTGATGGAAAACAAAGAAATAATGATCTGTTACTACAGATCAAGTCCAACAAGAAGAGGATATCTAAAACGAATGCACCAGTTCTGGAAAGAACAACATCCAGAATCAGAAATAACAGAACAGAGACTAGCAGATCAACGCCGATTTATAATACGAAATAAAGTATTCACAGAAACAGAATTGGACGAACTGCAAAGGTTTACCCAGGGCAA